CCCCAAAACCCCAAAACCCCAAAACCCCAAAACCCCGCTTACTTTTTGTAAAATTGAACGGCCAGGATATAAAATTTAATCCAAACCTTACCAAAATGTTCTTTGGAAGTCGCTTTACCCGTGCAAGGCTTAAAGACCTGCGAACGCAGGAGAGAATCATTAAGATCTTTTCAGGCTTTGATAATTTTAGGAACTCCAAAGTGATACATGCTGCTAGTATCGCTCCTTATTACAGGTCTAGTGAAATGGGTGATGACACTTCTATTCTAAATATGAGGCATCCTTCTGCTCCTTTGAACCCTACTCAGAACTGGGCTCTTTATTTCTTAAGATGTATGGCAGACTGAGTGATTGTTCCAGAGAAAGATATCAGAGAGAACCATGAAATGTTCCGTAATTCCCCCGAAGATTTTGGGTTAAAAAGAGAAATTTACGATCCCTCTGATAAGAAGAAAAACTTTTCGTGTGAGATCTACATCACTAAACCAAAATACAACGCTCGGATGATGGTTGAGAACCCTCTCTTTGCTTATGATTGTCCTCACAAGAAATATATCTATGGGAAAACAGGTAAAATTAGGAAATACAAGAATTTTTTGAAGACAAAATTCATTCACAATTACCCGATCCTGAAACAGCAGGATCAGTTCATGAAGAAAACGGAATTTCTTGAGGACGACAAGCCTTCAATCCAGAATTTAGTCAAATACCTTCAGGAAGAGAAAAAGATGGGATTAATTCTAGTAGAAAATGACCTTGAGTCATTGCACAAGATGTAAACTTTCTTAAACAAATGTAGGTATGCAGAGACAGACCCTGCAGTGAACATCTTCGACACTCTGTTCATTTCGCAGTACATGAACCCTGAAATCAGGTCGTTCCCTGAAGGATTTGTTAATCCTACTAAGTTCTCCTTCCAGGAGTTATTTAGAAACTATAAATGGTAGGACTTGGAGTATGATTCTGTAGCCAGTTCCAGTCAAAAGGAATTCCTGACCCTAGCAGCAGCTACGCAGAGTGGATCTTCATGCTGTTCCACAAACTTCCTCACTCAAAGTAAGGCTTTAACTTAATTTTTAGGCTCTCATATGAAGAAGCGATGCTTGTTGATCCTGAACAACTGAAAAGGGAAGAAAAGAAAGAAGCACAGAAGGAAATGTAAGATGTTGCATCAACTTCTAGGGCTGAAAAACGACAGAATATTGGAAAGAAACCATGGTTCGCTGAGAAATATAGTGACAAACTCAAAGATTAGGTGATTTCAATTTGTACAAAATAAGTTGGGGTTTTGGGGTTTTGGGGTTTTGGGGTTTTGGGG